ATATCCAACCTAAACTTCCCCTGTTTAAGTTTTAACCCATTACCCCTTGTCCTGAACTGCACTCAGCTGTGCCTCATTTTAATCCTTGCACCACTGACTTCAAGGTTGGAGGGTTTGGTTTTTCATGAAAAAATAATTGTGGATTTAGTTTTTGAAATATTCTGAAGTGAAAAAAGGAGGCTTTCAAAGCATCTGCTGTAGGAATGATACATACTGCATATAAAATCCTATTGCATACACAGCAGTAACTTTTTAATGATAAAACATCAAAGTACATTATAAAATTAACACAAAACAGCTGAATTGTTATGTCTTTCCATACCACTGACGGCAAATTTCTTAATAAATCACATCTAGCTATAATCCCAGGAAGGAGAATATTTTGTTTTTCTTGAATGAGTGTCTCAGCATTCACCTGCATGCCTCTGCAAACCGTGCTTGTCTCTCCGTTGCATGGCTGCTTACTCTAATTTGACCTTTTTCCTACGTTAATCTCTTTCAAGTTCAAAAAAATGGTAAAAAAAGACATGCAGTGATTGCTTGCATTGATGGAGCAAACAATCACTTCAAAAAAGACCCCAACATGTCTACTTTACACATAAAACTAAACCTGGTTTAGCTATAATAGTTACCTGCTAGGATAAAGTTGACTAAACTCAGCCTAAGAAAGGCTTAGGCAATGCCTCAAACCTGGTTTTGCAGAAGATTTGACAGGAAATAGGGGCCCGTTGCGGGCTTCAGGTTTTGACTTGATGTAGCACTGCAAATACCTGCTGACAACACAGAGACCTCTTGCTAGCTAAGAAGTCACGAATTGCCACAGTATAATTCTAGTTTTAGGATACACTGAAGCTTAATGCCTTAACTGTTATTCTTCAGCTGAATGTTACCATAAAGCTGTATGTATTAGTAAAAAAAAAAATGAGGGCATAAACTTCGGACTGATTTTTCTCTTACTGAGGAAATCAGCTTTGCTGTTTGTTTGTGTCTTAATTAAAAACTCTGACTGAAATGAGATTTTCAAACCCACATAATTTTACTTGAAATGCTATGTCACATGTTCCAATACAAACTGTCCATTTGGTACAGTGATAGGGCATATACTACGAAACACCTAAAGAAATGTTATCTCAGGCCTGCCTTTACTCAGAAAATAGGACTCAATTTCAATGTCAAAGTCAGTAACATTTTTAAAACATTGGCAAAATACATTTTTAAACAATGTATAAATGAATAAAAATATTGTTTATATTTTTCCACCATGAATAATTCACTACTCTCAGTCCTAAGTGCCATTGACTTAGCCAGCAGAAACCATTTATTGACCATGAGTTGAACCTCATAGTCCAAAGGCTTCAGTGCTGCAGTAGAGTGACATTTCAATTAACAGGGGGAACAGGTCAGCTGTTGATCATGTGGACATGGAAAATAAAGCTGATTTTTCTCTTTTAACACAATCTTTTGAAAACTGATTTGCATGCAATTTGGAGAGGTGGCTTTTGGAGACGTTGTCCTTTAGCATACCAAAGAATAAAACCATACTCTAATTTTCTGGCAAAGTTGTAAGTGCATGAGGAAAAGGAAGATACTTCTGTGTGGCATCAGGAGTCTTGTAGGTGATGATGTGTAACACAGCTACTGAGAAGAGCGGGGCACTTCTGGTCAGGAAACATATGCTCTAGTTTCCACTCTGCTAGCTGCATTTCTGATTTTTTTCCTCTCTTCCAAATGCCCAGATTTTAAACATTTTTTTTTAAATTATGGAAGAATTAAATGAAATGTATTTTCATCAAGTTTCTGATTTGTGTGCATGTAACTTCAACCTTCTAAAGCCTTCCAGCTCACCCCCTCCCAGGCTGAGCTGTGCAGTTGGGCTTGTCCCTTGCCCCATTTGTCCCCAGTGCTCCTGGTCCTCATTCCTCCATGACACCACACTTCATCTTTGTGCATGCAGATGCAAGGTAGTGGCCTGCTTAGACCAGGATTGCAACACTTAAAAGCCTATATAATCAATGCCCTGCCACGGGAGGCATAGCAATCAGCACACCAGCCAGAGCTTGGCTGATTGCTCACTTAGATTGAGTCCTTCTTGAGACCTTCTTTATCTCTCTCTCCGAGGTTGCAGAGGACTCAAATCACCGATGTTTTGAAATGTGACAGTTTTGTCTTAATACTGCACAGCCATGCTGTGATTTCAGGAAACTATGCTGCAGTTCCACCTATTAATTAGGGAGTGCAGAGTGGTGGGGCCTTTGAGGTAGGAACAGGCTTGGGCTGTAAAGGCAGCAAGCGGTTCACCATGTGCTGTGATACCTACTCAGCACATTTCCTATTTCTGTTTGTCCCAGCTCTCATCGTGGACAATGTTTGCCTTGTGGGCCTGGCAGATTAAATGATGTGTTTGACACTGGCAGTGTTGCACTCAGAAGGACATTTGGTTTTGGAGCCCTCTCCAATTCAAGAGGGATGTTAAGTAAGTTGCTGAGGAGATTACACTGGTAGGATACCAAGATGTTCAGTGACCTAAAGTATATCACTGACAAGGAGGTGTTGAAGGATCTGGCCTTACTTAGTCTGGTGATGGCATGTCTAGCTACACCTCTTTACAGATACTTGAAGGGGACTTGAAGGGAAAGTGAATCCAAATTCTTCTCCCAGCAGTAGTAAATGATGGGCACAAGTTAAAAGGCCACTAGGAAAAAAACATCTCTGCTAGGTGGGTAGTCTGGCACTGGAACAGGAACCCAAAGAAGCTCTGAGCCCTTCATCCCCAGAGGTATTGAAGATTTGGCTAATCAAAACCATGGCCAATGTGGTCTTGGTGACCTTCAGCAGTAGGGTGGCCCAGCTGGCCTCCAGGGTCCCTTCCAACAACACAGTCATGATGAGAGCAGTTATTGCCTAAATATATGCTTTTCCCAAGTATAATTTAGCATGCTGATTTCCTCGCAAGTTTGTTCAAAGTCCACTTTGGGGTTAGATGTGGCCTCAGTGAAAACCACAGATGAGACCATGCAGGTCTGGGGACTGCTGGAAATGTTTAACTTGAATCCATTTGTAGTGAATGCACATGAAGGTGGTCAAGCATGTAGCCTAAAGCTCATCAGATAGCTGGAGTTCATGTCACCTGATTAAACACCCTTGCTTGAGGTGGGATGACGTTTACGGGCATGCAACTAGTCTTAAACCAACAGCTCCCATCCTCGCTGTCTGGAACTTGAGAAGGAAGGAGCAAGAATGGTGTTGTTAGATGAGTTTAGCTTTCTTGCTCCACAGCAGCAGGTAATTTTGTCTTCTGCTTGTCCTGCCACAATAACCCTTGTAACAAAGCAAAGCTATGCAAATATCCCACCCTGAAAACATGAGCCAGAAATAAAGCACACAGAGACGAACTTTCTTTCTTCAATTTAATTGAAGTTACTTAGAAAAATAATCAGGCTTGAATGGCTTTTTTTTAAGGAAAGATTCATGAGCAGTCCACACTTGTGTTGGCAATGTATAATTTAGCTTTTTCTCTTTATTAACAGTATATTTAGGTATGAGGAGATACTTTTCTACAACAAGCCTTCTACTGCATACAAATAGGTTAAAAAAAAAAATCCAACCCCACATCGATGTTAAATTAGTCGTACACATTGTATTGTGCATGCATGTAAGAAAATAACACTCTCTGTAACAAGAGTAATAGTAAGGACAGTCCCTTTTTGTACCTGAAAAGTGCAGCAGACTACAGTGAAACCCTAAAACATCTGGGGTCAACTTAATTCTAAAAGCAGTTCTGCTTGTGGATTATTTATTTCACTTGTCTTACACAGCGCATGGTTCAGGCAGTTTGCACGTTTCTGTGATCATAATGGACATGGTTTACAAAGAGGCTAAAGCATGGACCAAGTCTGGTCTGGGGGGAACTCATGCAGCCCAGGAGTCACCACCATGTTCAGATAAGCCAAATCCAGCCTGGGCTCCAGGTTAAGGTGCTTGGGGCCATCTTGGGAGAAAGAACCCTCAGCTGTGGGCATTGTGCTGGGTAAGGAGCCATAGGCGCTGCTGGGGTGACATGGAGGCATTGGATACTCAGATGTGGGGATTGCTGCTCCTCCAGCCCAGTGTCTTTAAGGGACCTTGGGACCTTCCCCGCTGGGTCCTCTGTGCTCACCATTGCTCCACCATAACTAACACACATCCCTCTAAAACAGCAGCTCCCCAGGTGGCCCTCACAGTCCCACGGGCACATCTGTACTTCACATTTTGCTCTGGCTGCAGTTTTGCCTGTTTGTGGCCACAGCAGAAATGAACCTGGGAGGGAGACAGAGCTCGGGAGCAGCCCATTGTCCTCCAGCTAACAAACCCAGTGAAGAGGCTGGGGTAACACCAACCCGGATCCCCGGCTGCCCCTGCACTGCAGGTGGTGGCCACTGCCTCACTGAGATAAGGAGGCTGGACCCTTTTTTGGCTTAGACAAAACAACACACCCAGCTGACCAAAAAAAGGCTATTCCTTAACATCTGTGGTCCTCCTCTGAGCTGGTGAGGGCTTTGTGCTCACTGTGCAGAATGTGATCACATCCAGCACATCAGCTGTTCATTTTAAATACAGACCTGCAGCGCATTCACAGCACCCTAAATAGATGTAACACACCAAATGGATGGTTTGTAGTAGTTTGGGATCAGGGTTTTTAAAAAGCAAGTGACTTTTAAGTACTTACTTAAGTCCACATAAAAGCTATGTCAGTGCTGAGCACCCACCCATAGGGTGGCCCTCTATGGAGAGGCAGAACTTGGGTAATCAAACCCAAAGCTGCTGCTAAAAATCCCAGCTGGAGCAGTGCTCACCCCTCAGATTTCCTGAACACATTTTTCACCTAAAGCTTTTCTGCCATAGCTGTCAAATAGTGTTTTTGTTTCTCAAAAGCAGTGAAATTAAAAAGAGTATTTTAGAACAGATAAAACCAGAGAGAAGTAGAAAAGAAATGGGGAAGCACACCCCATTTAAAAAATATGTAGTTTCTGAATCAACTTCTTTCTTAAATGAAAAAAAACACATCACATTCTATTGGAGGGATTAACAGCTAAAAGTGAAGAGAAAATCAGACCAAAATATGAACACTGTCAGATACAGGACCAAACAAGCACACAAACAGCTTCCAGGAAATACTGGGAGGGAGGGGAAGAGGGAGATCCACCCTCAGACAGGGTTTTTTTTTCTAAACAAACATAACAACTATTGAACTACAAACAACAGAAAGCCAGGGCACACTGTGATAGGCACTTGCAACAGCTCCGTGTACTCTAAATGAGGCAAAACTGCTTTCAAGTAGAACACCAGCCTGCCAGCGTCAGCAGCCACTCAGGAGTTCAGAGCTGTCAGGCACAGCCAGCCAGCTCTTCACTAGCCACTGGGTCAGCGCTCCGGGTTATAAATAGGACCTGGGTTATGAAAACTGTGGCTGTTCCAGAATGGATGAGAGATTTGTAGGGTATGATAAAAGAAAAGAAAGGACCTGAATCATGACTAAGACCAAATCCAATCACGAAAGGACTTCAGCTGCTGTTTGTTATGTTAATTTGTTCTTCGCTGAGATTTATTCAGGGGCTTATTTTTATAAAATAAGATGGAACCTATTTTTCTTCTTTAACCAGATATGTGTCCTGGAGACTAATGTAATTCACTGGATATTACTGGCTATTGCACAATACAGCATTTTCAGGATCTGGCTCTGATACTGTTAAAACAGCTCTGCCTTCAGCTGGGTTTATTTAAAGCTTCACTAATTTTTGGAAGGGACTGGGGTTTGATCATAAGGTTGACAAGCAGGCAAATTAAAACCCCATTTTAACCATCAGTCAACTTTAAAACTGATGTTAGATTCCCACAAGTGTCTTGATTGAAGCCTCCGCCTCCTTTTGCCCATGAGCTGAATGCAGACGCTGTCACCCAAGGATAGCACAGCTTGGGGCAGCTACAGACCATTCCCCAGGCAGGTCGCCTTGGCCGTACACCTCACCTGCATCAAACACCTGGAGAAGCCTGTACTTCCGCTTACCAACTTGCTGACGGATCCACACTGAAATCTCATTTTTCATTATTTATTTGCCATGAATAGATTACTACTTGCTTGCCCAAAACAATTGCTCAGTACACTATGCCTGGTACAATCTGCCCAATCCCTGCTATTGAGACATTCATCTTAAGTAAAAGGTTATGGGCTCATACTAGAACTGACTTAGATGAAATACTAACCCACTGGAAATTATAAACATCCCTGACAATAGTATTTAGGCATCAACTAAAAAAAGAAGACTCCCTCTTCCCCCATGGAACAGCCATGAAACCAGCATGTAGGAAGATGAGACTTTTTTTATTGCCTTGCATGTTTAGAGATCAACACAAAGATGACTTTCTGACTTTTCAGATTACATGCCCACATCCTCTAGAGCAACATATTGTAACTGGTGAACCAATAGGCTGTCCTGAACCAATTTTGGTTGTCCATCTTAAGATCAGTTGGGCATGACTTGCATAGGACTAAGCTTCCCACAGCCCCGTCCTGGACATGAATTAAATCAATACCAATTGCTTTGGGCATTCAAAAATCTCTACAGTGACTTTCAAAACGCTGTTCTTTTTCTTTCTTCAAATCTGTAATCATTTGGGCTGGCAGGCTTCAAATTAAGAGAAAATAGGACTGGTCATATTCTTGATAAACTCATTAAGTCCAGACTTACAAAAGGTTCATAGTTTGTCTTCCCAAAGAATACATTCACATTTCTTTCAGTTATGGGTTTTAGATATTGTGTATCTATCAAAATCTGTTTTACTTTTCCTTTTCACAGCTAGAAGGAATTTTTTTAGTATGCCTGAGTACAATATCACTTTCTGAAGAGATTCTTTTCACCACTCTTCTTAAAGTGTTTAGTATCAAGAACCACTTCTGTATTTACTTGCATCAATAGCTAATGGAAGAATATTATTACCCAGAGACAAGCTCAACTGAGGAAAGCACAAAACCAGTTTCCTATTGTCCAAACGTTATCTTATCTCTGCTGCTGAAGTGACACCTACCAAGAGACCATGTTTTAAATAAGTATAAATAACATTAATTAGAATTGGAGGAATGCAAGATCAATGAAATTCACCAGAACACAATTAACATCTTGTTTTTTAAACAGTGTAGCAGTATTATTCATTTCTACAGCTAGATCGTCACAATCCTGTTACCCTGCAAAGAGAGCTGTCCTTTCTTACAATTGATTTAAATAATTTTGACTGTGCTGCTCGCAGCATCATTCAAAAACAAACAAACAAAAAGAAAATATTAATTTACAAAATAACCCATTCTCCATATTTATTATGACAAATAAAAATCTTAAATAAAACAGGCTTTCTCTCCCCTCTCTCCCCCCAACCCATCCCTCATTCCAACTTCAGGTAGCTTGGCACTGAGTAATTGAACATTAAAAAATCAAGTTTGTAGACTTCATAGAGCTGCGTTTGGTGCTCGGAGCTGATGTTCTGGAAGAACTCTGTGGTCATTTCATCAGTAGTTCTCGTAGACTTTGCATAGGTGGGGAACTTCAGGTAGTTGCCTACTCCTGCCAGCTGGAGGACGTAATTGGAATCCTCTTCCAGCGTTTCATATTTTCCTATGAGGTCGTAGTGGATGTGGCAAGGGTGGCAGAGGGAGTACACAGTCTGCCAGTGCTCATTGAAGGGCTCTTCTCTTTGGGTGTGAGGGTCGATGAGATACGCCACAAACTCCTCAAATTTCACGTCGTCGCCTTTACGCAGAGCTTCCTGGGTTGCGTTTTTCCTCTGGCGCCTCACGATTTTGGTGCCATACCGCTTGTGGAAGGAGGTGTTGTACTTCTGGGTGAACTTGTTCCTGTAGGCTGACACCAGTCTCTCGAAAGGCTCGCGGACAAAGAGGAACTTCATGTAGTTTTTCAAGCGGTGGTTGATCTCTGGGATGCTGTACTGGTTGAGGGTCTTCAGGTTTGAAGACACGTGGGCTTCATTGGCTGGGATTTCCATTGGATCGCTGTACTTGCCTCTTCCCGTCAAAACCATCATGACTCTCTTCCAGTTTGTGCAGGCCACTTTGGGAACATAGCAATAGATCATTTCATGATCCTCATCCACGACCAGATGTTTGAGGTCATTGGGCGTCAGCACGCGGCGCTTCCTGCTAGACACACTGTTTGCTCGGCACGTGTCTGTCACTTGGTCTCGTCTAATCTGATGAAGAATTGCTGTGTTGGACAACTGCAAAGGAAGCACAGGTACCAGTGAGTCGTGTCTGGGAAACTCTTATTGCCTTTCTGCTTATTATGCAAATTCATAGAAAAGTAGGTTACTGCCTGTATAGAACAGTACATTTTGTGGCTAAAAACATTGTTCCTATGCTCTAAGATAAACTCTTTTTGTCTCCAAACTTCTTGATGAGTGCTGCTTAAATGCTGTTCACAGAGTGTCCAGGGCTTTGATTTGAAGCGAACGCAAAAGGAGCACGAGTGCTCACACAGCCTGACAGGAAGTGTATTTACAGCACCCTCATCCTGACATGTGGTCACTGCTTTTCTCAGTCCAGGAAAACACATCTTCCCTCCACTCTGCAATCCATCAGAAGGCTACAGCAGTGCTGGACCTGGCCTGACCTTTTGCTGCTGAGATGAGGTAGGAAGACACCAGAGTTGGAAAACTTGTCAAAATGAAAACAGTGTGTGCTCTTCTTGCTGATGTCTTTTATGCTAGTCACGGCTTGCTTCTTGACTATGACCTTGGTAGAAGAAACGAAGCCCATGGAGATTCCTGATACTCAACAAGGGGAACATTCGCTCAGATGTGATTTCTTGAGAACCAAGGAGAACATTAACTATAAATTTACTTCTCTGTTAAAGCCATATTGACAGAGAAAGAAAGTGTATGTAGCCTTCTAACATACACAGCACCACGTTCACCCATATAACCCTTTATCGGTTTGTTAACAGCACCCTAACTTTCTGATATTAGTGCTACTGGATGCTTTAGAGAGGTTGTAATCTGTCTTGGAGGGGGGACCTAAACAGCAGCTGCACAGAGATGGCGACTCTCTCACCTACTGTCCACACTGTGTCCAGCAGCAACAGGAAGAGCTTCTGCTAAGGCAGGTAATGAGCCCCTTTGGGAAATAAAGAATATTAGCCCAAGCAAAGGACGCAGGGCTCCTGTGTTTGGTTATTCAGAGCCACCTGAAGTGTTTCTGCATGGCAGAGTGTTTTGCTATGCAGCCCCACCCTCACTGCTACAAATGCATTTTTACCTATTCCTAATAAACTGCATCAAAGCAACAGGGGGAAGGGTTTGGTAATTTTATTTATACTTACTTAACACCACTTCCCTGTGGATTTCAAAGAGCCTTATGCTCAATAATCAGTTTAGCTTTAAAGCCAAGTATTAAGGCAAGCACTGACCTTCCTCTCTGATAAGCAAAGAGGCCTACTTTGTATGCTGACTCTTTCAAAAGTGTTTATCTGATACCTTCCAGTCAAGTTAGCATGAATCACCCAACCCTACAATGAAGCATTTGGACAAATTCTCCTCTGCAGACAGATAAAATGCTGAAATCTCTCCTCCTGCAGACCTCCTTTTTATCAGTACCATATAGCACAGTACTGCTGTGTGTCTCTGGTTTTAGAATTAAAAAAGAAGAAATGTCTGAATATACCGCTACATTACAATATGCTAATGCACTATATTCACTTCTCTGCTGCTGTTCTTGGGATAAATACAGAATTAAGTGGATGAGATTCTATGGCCTGTATTAGAAAGAAGGTTAGATTTGATAATCTAATGGCTGCTTCAGACCCTAATCTTCAGATGAATCTTCATAGTGCTGTGCTTTGCTCCTGATTTCATTCCTACATCAATAGGCTAAGTACTTCTTCCCCATACATTAACATTAATGAGATTTTCAGGCCTTTGGAGTTGAGGGGAAAAATGCAGCCTTAGTATTTGCAATTGCAAATGAGATTGTACTGCATTAAATTCATTTAAAAGATGATACTTGTGCATTTTGAAGTGCTACTTGTCTCCCGCTCTTTTTAAAATAGAAGGAGTATGAGGAAATGGCATACAAGTTTGGTCAGCCACATTTACTAAGTATACAGCAACACTGATTCAGCTCCGCACATGCTGTGACCTGCCTGGTGGCACACAGAACACATATTAAATATCAATGTAATACTAAATGGGTACTGCCCTGTTCTCATAAATTGCAGTACCATTTGGCATGGCTGATGGGTGAAGGACCATGGATGAAACACAGTTTTGAAATCTCTACTTCCATTTATTTTTTTTTGCCTATTATCTTCAGCTTATTGAAAAAAAATAGGCCAGTTTAGTGACTGTCCTAGAATGATGCCAGCTGTACCAAAACCTATTTTCTTCTGCAGCTGAGTGATACACCCAATGGAAGAGCCGACCTACCTGCTTCCTCCAGAGAAGCAGAGTCCTGCTGGCTGTCGCTGAAGGAGCGGGTGATATGAAAGACACACAGGCATAACAGCATTTTTCAATTGGTATTTTGAAATTACATATTAATATTGAGTTATCATCTGATGCTAAGACAGTTCCTCCTTATTTTAAGTTACAAGCAAGGCTTTAAGTCACATAGTAATTTCATTCCTAAAGCTGGTGAGGGGAACTGGGAAAAGAGTTAAGACTACAAGAGACTGAGACTACATTCATTTAAACTAGAGGTCTGCTTGGGCAGTGAAACTGTGCTTGCAACTAATGAGGAAAATACACCCTACAGATTGAAGCAGCCACAGAGATAAGATCCAAGGGACAGATATCTTAAACCCATGGCAAAGGGCAGTTCAAACAATTAGGGCCATAGACTGTCTTCCCCCAAAGCTGTTAAGTGATGTGGCTATAGCAGAAATGTGACAACACAGCTGCTGCATCTATGGTCATTAGCAGAGGTCCCTGCTGATCCCTCAGTTCAAGAAGTCACAATAAGTTATGGCCTAAATCCACCCGACTTAGGGAAAGGACACTTTCAAGCATGTGTGCAGGTTACCCTGAGAGCAGCATGGGGATGGTGATAAAGCCGGTGTTGGATCTGTCCTGTGATGGTTCAATTTGGACTTCAGCTGGGCATTAAAGGAAGACATCTGATAAAAGCATCTGTTCTTCCCTGAAAGGACTGACAACGCCATAGATGCACTTGATCACAGGTTTTTATTTTCCTGCAGAAGTTGTAAAGGGGGACAGAGAAGAAGGGCATGTAAAGACCAAAATTCTTTCTTCCTTTTCTGATGCAGCAACTGAGTTGAATAGGGAGGCAACATGAACAGCAGGAGGTTCTGAAGCTCAGAGACATCTAAAGGAAGTGAAAAAAAAGCAGTCTGGGGAGACTGATCCCAGAAGCTTCTCATGTCCATCAGTCCCAGACTAACAACGAGGGAGGAAAGTTACGTCTACTATATTCTGATTGTGTGGATGTCTTCTGTACAGTATGGGGAGGGGCCTTTGAGCATAGTGGTCTTGAGAATATACTAACCAGAAATACATATATGCTAACCAGCTGACAGTCATCAACCCCCGACATGCAAAGGATATTCCAGGTAAATCACAGCAATGAAATGGTCATTTTCCTCTGGTTACTTAGGCACAGCAGGATAAAATAATCTTTGAGGGCCTTTCAAAGCTTGTTGGCCAAACAGCAAGTTCAGATTTAAAAAGAGGACATTTTTAATTAGCGGTTTAGGGTTCTTTTTCTGAATAAAACTAATGTACTACCATTAATAGGAGCAGGGATCAATACAGTTCACAGGTACCTGCCATGAAAGCACTTTTTTAATAGAAGGATGGAAATACCTAAGTGTCATTCAAGAAAACTCCATTAATTATATTTTGTCTCTCTACAAAAAAATTAGTGTGCAAAGAAGTATCTGCCACACTTGTAAGGCAGGGTTTTATTTATTTCCATTGTGCTGCCTGCAGCTGCTGCCAGTTCTGCACATTACTGTGACCAGGCTCACAATCAACCTATGCTGGGAGTGATAACAGGACATTTGGACATGGCAAAATAATGTAAAATTAAGCAAATTGGTGGACTGTGGAATAAGGAGAATAAATATTGTGACTGGGTTTGCAGTCTCATGCTCTGTTAAATTATTTTTTCTCTTCAGTTTGCATTAGCAAAGACTTTGTGTCTGCCTTTAATTCTTCAGTTGCACTTGTGTTTGGAGGTTCCGCTTCTATTCTAAGCTAGAACTATGTAAGCTGCAGCGGTGTTCCCCTTATCTGTGGTCCAAACAGCTATCAATTAAAATCAGCTGCATCTTTGCTAAACACCCAGCTGGGTCTATCCAGTAGCACTGTTAAGCTCAGCATGAATCACAGCTCATCTCCACCAAATTCTTCTTAACGGTATTTGTTTAGAAGGTGTATGCAGCAAGCTCGTAATCCATTGAAAACAAGGTCTTAAAGTGAAAAGTGTCAGATAGACTAACTATAGGTGGCACTAACAGTCCTGGTTATGTGGCATAGAGAGAAACTAGTATTTCAGTTAACTAAAATCTCTCAGGTATTCCAAGCTCTCATTCCCCAGCCCATCAACCACACCATCTGAGTTCTAGGAGGTGTTTGCTATTCAATATGCAAAATGTTTCTCAGTATTATTTATATTTTCCCAAATGCTTAAGGTTTGAGGGTTGTTTTTGAGTATAAGGTTACACACAAGCACGTTTCCAATCCTGATTTCACATAAAAAGCATGAATAAGATCCTTGCAACTTTGATGGACAGCCTTAAAATTACAAACATATTTTAGACTACTTTAATACTTGGCTTTTACAATCCGTATCCATAACTACCCTATTTAGTGCATATCTATTCTATAGACCAAATTCTAGGTTTTCCTAAAAACATTCATCATTTTACAATAAAGGGGAACTAGTAATTTTTCATCCTTGACAGTCCAAGCATAAGCATTTCTCAAATCATCACAAATAATTATCACTCTCTACAGATTTCTACAGATGACAGTCAGACAATGTGAACCAGCTATGTAAATCAAAACACTGAATCTAAAGGAACTGAATTTTAGATAAAGGGATTTTATTAAACTGACCTGGACTGCACCCATTTTTTTTAAGTAATAGCTTTGCAGCGTTTCATACTTTGATTTGTTTCACATTTCATAGCATCTGATTCTTGACTTACCTTCTTCAAAAATTTCCAGCACTCAAAGAGAACCCCACCAAAACCTCAATTAAT